GATCGACGACGATGGCGACGACAACGACGACACCTGGTCGTGTTCTGTGCGAGCGGATTCAAACCGTCAGAGTGAAGCTCAGGTGCAAGGTCAATTTACGTCACTGAGCACATTTGCGAGAGCTGACTGGGCAAAGATACTTTATGATCGAGTGGCTCGTCTCATGCGACGGGCATCTTCAGCGAAAGGAGACAACGGCGTCTCCAAGTATGTGCTGCCTGGCATCCCTCGTTGCGACAAGATCGATTACCCATGCGGCTGCCGAGATCGAGTCGCGCCGTCTGCCGCCACCTGAGTAGCATACGAAATCGGCATCGTCTGGAAAAGCCTGCGAGAAGGTGCGTAGCAACCCCTCCGCCCTCCGTTTTGTTTCAGAGGCAGTGGGGCCGCGAGCTCAGTCCGCTGCCGCCGCCCACGCAGGCGCGGCGCCGGCGAACAGCAGGCGCTCCATCTCAGGCGTCGGCGAAGAATAAGCGTTCTTGCCCTCTCCCTTTCCCTCGACTCCATCCTGCGTTCCATCCCTCTCCTCCGAGCAGCTCACGACGGCGGCAAGTCCACGCCTGCGACGACCGACCCCCATGGGCTTCTCTGGGGAGCGCTCCGGCCAAGGTCGCGAGACGGATCCGGCCGTGGGCACGACAAGCTTCGATCGACGACGCTGTTGTCGACATCGACGACGATGACGACAACGACGACGACGACGACGACGACGACGACGACGACGACGACGACGACGACGACGACGACGACGACGACTGACCCACAGATCACTTCTGAGGTGGGCCTTGTCGGAATCTCGAGACGGATGCAGCCGTGGGAATGACAAGCAAACATGAGGCAAACAAAAGCGGCTGAACATCCTCGACCGACGACGTCCGATGTAAATCCGGTCAACATGTGTCCCAGACTCCCTCCTCGGGTCTGTTCTGGGCAGTTTCTCATCTGTGTCAGTGCTTGACGGTCCTGGGGCCAGAAACGAGCCCGACGACGACGAAGACGTCGACGTGACCATCGACCAGCGACGAGCGGCCGCGTCCTGTGCGGGGGGCCCCAGCGGCGCCGCCGCTGGCTCCGCCGCCGCTGCCGCCGGCTCCGCCGGAACGGACTCGGCCGCGGGGGCGTCCTCGACCTCGAGCGGCTGGAGCCTGGGGGGAGGAGGGTTCGCGCCTCCTTAGTGACGGTCGGGAACTTTAACTTAGCGTGTCGCGGCCAACCCAGCGACACGCTGTGCCTTGAAAGCGGACAGCACGTCACCCGCTCCGTGGGACGGGAGGCCAGGAAAAACTTGAGACGTTGACGCTCGGGGACTGGGACCCGGAAGGCGTGTCGCGCCGAGGCGTGGTGGGCCAGAACCGGCGGAGCGATACGCTAAGCCAAAGCCCCTGATTAGAACACGAATAGACGCCATAAACATAAACTTTTGGCGCTCCGCGCGGATTTCTTGGATCTGGCGCTGGACCCTCCTCCCCGGCGCGCGGAGCGCGCCAGGGGCGGCGCCGGAGGCGCCGCTGGGGGGGCCCAGCGCGGATCCAAGAAACCCGCGCGGAGCGCCAGAAGTTTCTGTTCATGGCGTTTTTTCTTCTTCGGCTGATCGTGCATTGAGGGGGAGCGTCAGAGGGGGACCAGCTCAGGGGGGGACGCATGGATCCAGCCTCGGCGACGCATCGCCGATGGACCGGCGACAGCATCGCGGCGGCAACTCCGCGGGGTCCTGTCGGGCCCCTGTCGGCGATGCAGGGGCGATTGGGGGTCGGTGCGTTAACCCCCTTACGCAGAAAGCATCTATACACCACCACCACCGTGCCAGGCCAGGGCCATCCTGGGCCCTGGGATGGTGTGTACGCCATCCTGGCCGAGGCCAGGAGGGTCTACACACCATCCTGGGGCCCAGGATGGCCCTGGCCTGGAACGGTGGTGGTGTATAGATGTCTTCGCTAGACCCCTGACCAAGTCCCCCCCAATCATTCTCGTCGTCGTCGTCGTCGTCGTCGTCGTCGTCGTCGTCGTCGTCGTCGTCGTCGTCGTCAAATTTTCGGGTAACAGCTTGGGCCTCCGGCGGCCGTTCGGTCGATCCGGGCGCCCCCCCCGGACGCCTCTCCGCGAGGCCCGCATCTGCCGAGACGCCTCCCGAGGCAGGAGAACTTTCTCAGCGACCCGACGAGGCACGAGACGCATGCCGAGGCAGGAGACGCCAACCCCCGCCGTCTCCCTCTCTATCGGAGAAACTATGGCTTCAGTTTGTGTCGGGGTTTCGGTTTTCTGCTATGCCTGGTGGCCCATAGGGGCCAGACGGATCGCGAGGAGGCGGAGGAGGAGGAGGAGGAAGAGGAGGAGGAAGAGTAAGAGGAGGAGGAGGAGGAGGAGGAGGAGGAGGAGGAGGAGGAGGAAGATGACACTCATCTTCTGGGGGCGTGCTTCCATGTGCGAGGGTAGTCGTCCTCCTCCTCTCCCCCTGAGTGTCAGGCAGTGTCGCTGCCCGAGCGGTCCTTGCACCTTGTGGCCCTATTTCTTCGGACTGTGGCCGTCAAGCCGCAGCCAACTCGTACATCTTGTCATTGCACTGTGTGTTTTCATCCCCGAGTCCTGTCTTCTCTGAGCGGCCATTGTTTTGGAGGGAACCTCGGGGATTGGACGCGAGAAATCGCCCGCAAAGGGGGACGAACCCCGAGACCCGCTACGGCGGACAAAAATGCAGCCCTTCTACCGCGGCATGTCTCCCGCCGAATCGACCCGCGAATGCCCCTAAGGCCCGAAGCGGGGCGAAACTCACGCAGTGCGACAAAAATGCGACGCCAGACTCTCAGGGGACGATGGCGGCGACAACGACGACGACGTCTTTCAGGTTACAGTCGGACCTAGGACAGAAGAACATCCTTCAAGAACATGTGACCCTCCGCTGGCCCAAACTGAAGAGCATCCGAGGGTGCCCTCCCCCAGGATGCGCAAGCACGAAGAACATTAGCACACCCTCCCCGAACCAACCTCGAGCTTATACCTCGGTCCGGTCGTAGGGGGGACCAGCCCAGGGGGCGGGGGGGGGGAGGGAACCTCGAGATGGAATCGGCGATGGGCTCCCGATGGCGGATCGGCAACTTCCTGGGCGGGGGTGGCTCTCGGACCCCTACCGGCGACAAGTGGGCGACAGGGGGTAGACGCGTTCCCCCCTGAGCGCATGCCCGTCTCCAGAACGCCCTCGGCGAGGCGCAGCTGATGGAGAGCACCCCTACCGCCGAGGACCGACGAGAGCGCCCGAAAACTTCGAACCTCGAACCACCCTGAGCCTATCCCCCCCGAGGCGGCCTCCCCCAAACGCTGCCCCTGATCCCCGCGCCCACCCTGACCCGGCCCATCCCCTCCTCACGCTGCCCCCGATCCCCGCGCCTCTGATCCCCGCGCCCCCCTGAGCTGATCCCCCACTAACGTTGCCCCTGAGCCTTCCTGTGGGGCGGAGGGGGGGGGCGCGAGGAGCCCCACTTGTTTTTTGAAAGTCCTGGGGCCATGTGAAGGCCCCCAGAGGCCGAAAACTGCACAAGACCTCCCGTCTCGATTTTTTCAAGACGCGGGCATCCCCTCCCTGGCGTGCGAAGCGCGCCAGGGGCGGCGCTGGAGACATCGCCAGGGGGGCCCAGCAAACTGTTCAGACAAAAAACATGCGGACCTTCGAAAGGCTGTGCATCAGCTACTCCTCCTTCAAGACGTGGCGACCGCCTGGAAGCAAGCCTGGGGTCGCCACTGCAGCCTATATACCCCCTGAGCGTTGCCGCTGGGCCTCCTGGACAGGATCAGTCAGAATCGACTCGGCATGTGCGTCGGATCGGGCCGAATCGGCACGAAGTCGAAATCGGACTGGGCCGGCCGCGCCGGGATGCGCCGCACTGCGCCATATGCAGACGTCCGGCCCCCATCGCATCGAGCCGGCCCGCGTCGAGGCAGCCGCACCGATATCGGCGGTGGACAAACCTCCCTTTAGTAAATCACCCTTCAGTGAAAACGGCCCAGGACCGAAACCGACGGACCTGGACCCGCAAAAATAACGGCCGTGACGCCCTCCCGCGAGCCGAAAACGGCCAATTCACTCGTCGGCGTGTCAGGGCAGGAGGTCTATCAAACTCCGACGATATCGCATCGCATCGGGCCAGCCCGCATCGGTACCGAACCGGACCGATCGGATCCAAACGGACCCCGTTCGCGGGCCCCCGCGAGGAGCCCGCGGCCCGTCGCCCGCGCCGCGGGGCGCGGCGGCTGGGCCGCGCCCGCCTCCGGCGGGGCGGCCCTGCTGAACTGCAGCGTGACCTCGGCGCGGCGCCGCGCCGCGCGGGCGGCCGCGGCGCCAAGGCCACGTCGTCTTCAGCCCCAGACGTGTTCCGAAGCGGCGCCAAGGCCACGTCGTCTTCAGCCCCGGACGTGCTCGAGCCTCGTCGACGCCGCGTCGGTTCTCCCCACCCTGGCCCCGCCCCCTACCCACCTGGGCCCTCTACCCACCAACCACCACACCACCCAGCCCCACCGGCTCTCGTAGATGTCCACCCTGCCCCCACCACCATCGCTTCGCCGGAATCGACGGGAGGCAGGGGTGGGGCTCGGGCTTCGCCACGCGTTCGACGAGTTCCGAACCCTACCCCCGCCGTCCATCGAGTGACCTGAATCGTTGATCGGCGAGGGACGGATTCCGTCTTCGCCGACGAGTTTGCCAGGCTCGGGATGCTTCTCAGCGGCTGCGCCACGTCGAGGGCGGTCCGGGAGTGCCCGCACCGTCCCGAGCGGCAACAGACTTTCACTCGGAAGGCAAGCCCACTGATTGCCTCAGCGCAGCCTCGACAACGGCACCGTGCGCGCGGGCTGCCACGGCGCCCGGGCCGAGCCAGGGACCGGACAAGCTGCCGATAGCGCTGCCATTCCCCCGCTTCCGTTTCTGCGGGGCCTGCTGGGGAGCCTCCGTCGCCACAGCTGGCTTCGCCTCCAAGGTCAGAGCGCACCCCGGGAGCTGTCCGAGGAGCAGC